CATTTTGTTAAATTTTATTTATACTCATTACAAATTGCAGACTTTCCTCTTTTCAGCGTAATTTTTGTTTTTTTAATAACTGAATACCTTCGAAAATGACAGTTGATTAGTTTCAACACATTCCCAGGGGGACACCCTGTACATTATTTTCGAAAATGCGATTACATTGCGCATCTCAATACATTGTATCAATATAATTTAATTGAGTTCTGTCATATTAGGTGGATCAGAATTCGAATAGATATTAATCGATGGTTTAATTATTTTTAATATATATTTACCATTATATATTTTAAATATACATTATTCTAAAAAATACGATTACATGGCGTATTTCAATACATTATATCAATTTAATCCAATTCTGTTATATTAGGTGGATCAGAATTTGAACAGGTGTTAATTGATGGTTTTAAAATTCATTTTAAAATTAGTTTCGAGGCTCCATTATTATTAAGTGCTACAATCTTGTTTTTCCTCGATCTACTATTCAATTTAAAAAGTCACAGATAATGCTAAAATATTGTTCTAATTAAAGCGATAGGATCAGGACGTTAAGCTGAGATGTAAAGCTTTTATTTAATCTTGTTTTCTTTGTGAGGAAAAAAATATGTATCGCAATAATAGATCGAGATTTGTAGGTATTTATATATCTATCATTTACATCCTATATTCTAATTTCATCCTATTTTATCCTACATTAATTTCATCCTATATTCTAGAAAATATTAATGGAGATTTAACATCATATCTTTTAGTGTCTTTAGTCTTCTATATACTGTGTATCTGTGTTCTGTAACTTATCCAAATTGCAACTCAATTGCGAACGGAGAAATGTATGTGCCAAATTTTGTTACGATCATATTTATTACTATATTTAGGTATTATTATTATATTTCCGCGCGTCTCAATTCAGGCGCGTTTCAGCAAGTACTTCGAGTAGGCCGATCAGGATGTATCGACCCAAGAAACGAGGTCGATTGTTGCTTACCTCATTGAAAAAGCGGCTCTCTTATAGCGGCGAGCTGCAATCAGCACGCCGGCATTCACGTCTTCATAATCATCGTCGCGTAAATGAAGGACGGTAACTTCCACCATTTCACGATCAATGTCACGACAAGCGATACGTTCTCGCGAAAACGCGACCGTCAGTTACGAACACTTGCATAGTCGCGCGACGCACGACGTGACGAACCTGATCAAACGGCGACCGGCAATCCGATCGTCCGTAACAATCGTCAGGTGAATACGCACGTGCGTCGATTACTCGAACCAATTCACACTCGCATTTTATTTCGAGCTGGCAATCATACTCGCACTCGCGTTGATTAATGAATATTTACGTTGACATTTGGCGAACTCAGTTTTGTTGACAGGAAATCAAATAGCTACGTTCAGCAAAAAAAATCAGCTGTAAAATTCTTTAATATATGATCTTGTCCTCCCTGGTTCTAAATATATAAAACCAATAATATTAGAGAATTTTATAACAGTTGTAAAGCTGCTTTTCCTGAGGAATGTTGCCAAAATAATGAATTATTAATGATCGGAGTATAATCACCATGGCAAATTATGTTTATTAATAACTTCTATAAATAACTTTTATCACTGAGCGATCAAAATCGAATTTAGACCTTCACTTATTCACTAATACTTTGAAACTTAAAATATTCCATATGCGAGATCCGCGACTGGTTTGACCGGTAATCAGAATATTTTTAAATGAACTTCAGGAGACCACAGTGAGTCTCAATTCAAACAAGTGTATTGCCGGTACTTGACAATGATTTCTTGTTAGAATAAAGTCAAGGTATACCTATAAAAGGACGAAAACGCTCGAGTGGAACGTCGGAACGACTATCATCCACCTCGTTATCGTGATCAGTTCGACCTAACGGGATCTTGAAGGACCGTTCTCCGGGAAAAACTCCGGAAGAAAAATTCTTGACAGCACCATTTGTTAGTACCAACGACGACGCTTGTCGCAATGAGCGATGACTCTTTCAGTTAACACTACTTTGACGAAACGCTACGCGACGCAACGCTGAGCCGAAGGTTGACCGACCCGTTATACCTCGAGCGGTGATCGAGTGACCGTGAAATTTCACGAAACCACGAACGCTTCCGGCGATACTGCTTGTATACTCAAGGAGGATCCGTTCTCCAGACATAGGACCACAGTAGAGATCCCGAGGAGGACTCACTCGGCGACCTGCCATTATAAATAGTTGTGACCGAGACGACCAGAGACTCGCGACCAAGTGTAACGGACGTGGAAAGAGGGACCAGACGAAGGAAGAGGACGGCGGTCAAGCCAGAAGGAAATGGCGATACGTCGGGAGCTAGCGATGGACTCGAGCGCCCGTCGAGATCGCTCGAACGAAGTAAACTGCAGTGCGAACGGAGGGAATGCTAAACGATGCTCACAATAATTATATAGGTCTGTTTTCTGTGGCTGAACTAGTATACACTTTTGAAACTTAAAATGAGATAGATATACGTTCGATTTGATATTTAACGAAAGCGAGAAAGAGAGTTCTAGACGGTTTAGTGCATTTTTATAGAAATAAAGAACAGACCTTTTGAAATCTAAAACCGAGACCGAAATTGAGGAGAAATGTGCAAAGATACACATCGATCAAGTGTCTATCTCGTAGCTTTAGAAAAGGATCATTATTTTCTCCAATTTGTTCTGCGCGCCTTTTAAAAAGTTTTGACTCGTTTTTCTCTTAAACCGTCGCAATTACTTGTTTGTCGCTTGCCTCTTTCCAGAAAAAAAACCTTCGGCTCGTTAAAATTGCATGATGGCTGGATATTTCCTAACTGTCGCTTAGTCCCTCCGCTGTCGCTACTTGAACGGTCTTAGCAACGCCGGATGAATGAGCAATTAATCACTGGGCCAGGACGGACAGATCGGCTCTATCACTAATCGCGTCACTCTCCTCGTCTCGTCCTCGTTCCACCGTGCCATTGTTCTCATCCACGAAGCCGCTTGCAATTCTAATCGCGGTGGATCGTCACCGCGACGTCCGTTCCTCGTCCAGCTCACGGCGCACTCCTGAGGTCGCCGACGGCGACGGTCGCCCGCGCACAAGACTCTATTTCCGATGGCGCATCTTTTTTTCTTCTGGCATTCGCGCTTTGGCTTCTTCGCTCGTCGCTGTTATTTCCGAGGGACTATTTCCTTCGCTTACGTGAATCTCTTAGTTCGACGGAACGATCAACTTTTCGAACCATTTGTCCCGAAGGTACGAAGCAATGGAGATCTTGAGGGATCTAAACTCGACTTGCAATTTTAAATTATTAATTAATTTTAAAATTAAAAACTCATAAAATAATGTATTTGAAGTCCAAATTTTTCAAATATATGCCGAATTCCTCGAGAAAATCGCTATCAAAACAATTTATCTAGTCAATAATAAGATTGGAAATTATCCAATGTTTACAAGCGGTTTGTTGAAATTTTATGAAAAGTGAGGTTCGCCAATTTATATCAATGGTATAACACTAAAACTGATATAAATTTACATTAAGCAGCATCTACAATGAAATTTTGATCAATCATATATAGTCGATTATTTTTCTCATATTCGATATAGTGATTGATCAATTTCTAATAACTTGTTAAGCTTAAGCTTAAGTTTTACACCTTAAAATCTCATTGCTGACGCCGTATTACGTCAAATAATGACAGACGCACTTAGGTTTTGCGCAATCGCTGTCATTAATATTTCATTACAACTCTGTATAATTACTAATAGAGAATTTAGTCGAAGGCAATAGTGCACATTAAAAAGCTGTCTATACTGATTTAATCTGAATGTAAAAGTGAACAACTACTATTTCGAGAATTACAAAATACATATTTATCTAACAGCTATAAAGTGTATTGAAAATTTCGCGATTTAACCCGTTTGTATGAACACAAAGTTACATGTAACATATATCCTTTGTTGTATAATACACACGTTATACTATAGTTATATTTGTTGAGTAGAAAATTATACTAACAGGTACATTACGCGTAACTTGGTGTTTGCTGGATTAAACACACATCTTTACTTCAATCTGTATACGGCTTTAACGTGCACCAGTAGGCACTAAGTGTGTCCAATCTTCGGTATATATGTAAGTAGAATATGCGATAAAATACTTATCTCATGCTGAGAACTTCTTTATATTGAAACCGTGACACGAGTGTACGCTTTATCGCCAACATATTTAATACGTCGGCAAAATGCTCCTGTATCTTGTCTCGATAAGTAAAACCGCAAGCAAGTCAGCACTTCCGTATAGCCAAGGGCAACGTATCAATTTTATGATAAGACCTATCGGGAAGCGTCTATGTATATGTGTGTGTGTGTAGCATAATGTATATAGAACGTTCCGCTTCAAGCTTTGAGATCGAACATTCTTGTTAAAGGAAGAGATACAGACCGATATAGAGGAAAATACTTTGACTTCAAGGATATTACATAATCAAATCAATGTTTCTTTTTTTAATAAATGCTTTTAATATTTAATATATTTTTCTTCTTCTAACAAGGAAAGTTTCAGTGAACAGTTGTGAAACTTTCCTTGTAAGAATACTGCAGGATGATATTGTAGAAGATGGCACGTGTGCGTACTTAAGAAAATAAACATTTCAGAGAACGATAGATTTTATATGATAAATCATTTTATTTTAATAATTTGTGTGCCTGTGTTTGTACAGTATAATAATAATAATAGTAATAATAGTAGAGAAGTAGTAGTAGTAGCAATAGTAACAATAGAAGTAGTAGTAGTTTAATAATAGATAATAGTAGAATAGCAGTAGCAGCCATACAAGTGACAATAGTAGAATGATTTTTACTACAGAAGTAGCATCCGTCGTCCGTCTCGTCCACTTTGACGTTTGAATCTCGAAGAGGAGCCCGACGGTTGCCGGAAGTAGATGGAAAACGTCGACGTTGTAGGCATTTCTACCAACTTGGCCACTGACTACGCTTCGATCTTTGTTCGAAAAGTGTTAACGAGACTGTGCAACGATCATTTCTTGAAATTTTTGAGATACGCTGTTCCTTAACATCCGTAAAGGTGCACCGAAGCAGCCAGAAGATTTATTCCTCCTCTTCCTCCTCCTCCTCTTCTTCCTCCTCTTCCTCCTCCTCTTCTTCCTCCTCTTCAACCTCCTCCTCCTCTTCCTCTTCTTCCTTCACCTCCTCCTCCTCTTCTTCATCGAATTGCGGCTCGAGATCATCGTCGACGATGGCCTTCACGTCTTCCTCGCCCTCCGGTGATTCGGGATCACCAGTCTTCTTGCCTGGTCTCTCACCGAACCACTTAGGTAACTTCGCTATTATTCATGCAAAGTGACAGATTAATTTTACACAATTCGGAGAAGAACGCTAAATGTATACTGGATTACAATTCCATGAGGCTAAATAATGACAAGTGCGGAAGAACTTTCAACGAATATTCGATATATTAAAGTAAAAACGTTTTATCGTTTCGGAATAAATTTCTACTAATTTTTTAATTATAATGTCAAGTCGATCATCATTATACTATAGTATGTATGAGAGGAAAATAAAAGTTTTCCTGAATTTTTCCCTATAATTATGTTTGTTACGTGTATTTCGATGTTTCGAGGAACACCGAAAACTCTTTTAAAGCTCTTAGTTCCGGTGCCGGCTCGAAGCTTCGAAAACGGATTTCATACGTACTCTTCTGACGACCCATGAATTGCTCCTTTTGTTGGGTCCACATCTTCTCGATGATCTCCTTCTGCTGGTCGGTCAGACCCTGAAACATCAACGGACAAAATGGCATGCTAGGGGTTACTTTCACACATCAGGATCGCCTGGGAAAACCCTCTCTCTCCGTACTGTTGCTTTCTCTGGGTTGTACGAATCTTCCCGTGGCGAAGTTAGGGCTGACAATTACGATCGACAGAATTAACGTCACAAAGGTCATCTATTTTCACGATCGTATTCCAGTCTGGATTACGATCTTCGACGCTCGTTTCTGACATTCGAAGAATGGATTCTCGGATTTCGCGCGCAAAATGAGGATAAATCAAACACCCATCCTTAACTGTCCAGGGGAAAAGAATATCGAGGAAGTTGTGATTTCAGAACGTGAAGTGACATGTAACAAATTTGCAGACGCCGACACAGTTATTAAGAGCGAGATTATTTTCGTGATTGGTGACTGCTGTCGCATCTTTCTTGGGCAGTGCACGTGAAGAAAATCGTCATCGGTGTGTGAGCCACAAATACGGTTTACCGTGCTTTTATGTACACCATCGAGACAACACGAACACAGCAATAACTTGGCTGGCAGCCATTTCGACCATTTAGTCAACGAGAACAAGGAACAAGTACATAAATTAGAAACACGGTCATCCGTGAGATTTTGGAGATTACAATCAACAAGACAAGCAAGGGGAGGTGGACACAGTGACAGAGAGATCACGGTTGGACTCACTTTTGGTGCGCTTCATAAATTGTTCTGTTCTCTGTTTCCACGTTTTCTCGTTGGTCTCCGCTAAGAGCGTGTCATAGCCCTGTGATTCAATTGACAATATGCTCACTAATCGCTAGCTTTATACATATATATATATATATATATATAGTTTATTCCTACAATGTCTTATAATTTATTTATTAATTACGTAACGGAAACGAATTCCTACTTTTATGTGTATGTGTATATATAGTATCTTCATATCTGTGGTAGAGCACGTGTCTGAATGTAAAAAATTCACGTGAACGTGTCACAAAGTGAGACGATTCTAGGTTTGACCTCGTATTTTGAGAGTAGGGACCATTGAATAAATTTTCATGTGTTGAATAAGTTCTAAAGTATACTTACACCCTCAAAAAGTTTCTTCTTGTCGTCGTAAGACCTGGTATCGACGCGACGTTCGTACTTCGAGGCGACTTGGATTTTTGGCTGTGAATAAGCGATTCGATTAATGGTGATTTTTCCTACCACTTTCATTTTATGATATGATAGACATTACGTACGGGATATTTGCCAGTTAAAGCTTCGGGATCGAGACCCTTTTTCAAAGCTTTGTGCCTCAGTTGTTGCTTCTGACGTTCCTTCAATTCTTTAAGCTACGATAAAAGGGTAACATCGATTTATCAATACGGCTAGAAAACAACTTGGACTATAATTAAACTCGTGTCTGAGCAACTTATTTCCCAAGCAGAAACAATCAATGTATATTTTTCTTTTTCTTTCTTTATATTTTTATGAGGCTCAATGGTATACAATTATTATGCGCGCTTATAAATCTATCCTTATGCAATCGTTTACTTGTTAAATTTTTTATATAATGACAATTTAAATTTTATTAAGAATGCGATAAATTTATATTGTTCAAATAAGATGAAATGATTCAGTACTTTTAGAATTGTAGAAACTCACATCGTAATCCTGACGCTTTTGTCGCTCCTCCAAATCGTACTTTTCGGTTTCAAGTTTAACTATGGCCTCCCACAATTCGGTAGCCTTAACACGGAGCTTGTCAATCGACAGACCTTCGATTTCCAACGGCTTGATGCGAATGCTAAGGGAAATTTTCTTCTCCTCCTCAAGCTGTTCTTTCGTCTTATTACGTTCAAGTTGCGCCGATGTAAGATTACCCTAAATTCGCATGAGAGAATCCTAGTTATAGAATACCCAATTGCTGCTGACAATAAAAAGAACACTCACCGAAAGATCTTTCTTGGTGATGGTAAAGTTTGGACCCTTTGCTTTGCTTTGGTCTTTCATCGCTTGCATCATAGCCTGTCGCTTCTTTTCCGATTCTTCCAAGCGCCTAAAATATAGCAAATAAATGTAGAAAATAAAAACAACGCGCAAACATGTATATATATAAAAAAATTAAATAAATTTACAAGTTTAATCAATTGGTTTTGAAACAACTTATGTACGAATATAATCAATAATTCCTTCGATTTTAAATAATCTACATTTTGATAAAGATGGAGAAAGACCAAATTAGAATCATAATTGACGTGTATAAAATATTTACGTTGTAAGTAACGGTTATACAACAGAAAAGTCAAATTACTTACGTCGTTAGCGATCGCAAAGATGTTACATAGAATAAATTCACTAATGATGGCAAAGAATATCATACAGCATTTTTGTGTTCGTTAGTGATATAAATAATTTGACATTCCTGCGATTGTTACATTACTGCGACATTAATGTCTACTAGACATCAACAATCAATTAATTCTTTCTTTTTATCAACATTTTGTATCAAAGAAATTTTTTTTATTTACTCTATTTAATTAATTTCTTGTTTTAGTATAAAACTGAAGATTCAACTGTTTAGAAAGGAATCGATATTCTTGCAACAAAATTTGTTATGCATAAAATGATATACTCATCGTTTAAAAATCTTACAGTCATTACGAGAGACATTAGCTGGTAGTTATTTAAGTTCATTAGTCGGTTCTTATTTAAGACCGTCTTAAATGAAGTTTCTTAGGATGTCGTAAGCCGCTCACAAAGTATTAGCATCTTAATAGATATTACGTAGACATTACTTAAGACATTACTTAAACATTATTTAAGGCATTACTCTTTTCAGACGATTTTCAAATAAAAATAGACTACGACCATTATATATAGCGACCATTATGACTCGTATTCATAACGCATTTATAACTATGTTAACGCGCATGTAGTTCACGTTACATACACTACAAAATTTCAGAAATAAAAGCGGGCATTTATCGATGAAATCGTGTTTTGAATACGGGCCAATAATTGTATAAACACCTACCTCCTCTTCTCTTCGATGTCACGTTGTTTTTTCTCCTCTGAAAAAAAATTTAAAAAATTGTATTAAATTCCCGTTTAGAGAAGAAAATAGAGATAGACGTAAATGCATTTACCGATTTCACGTTGACGGCGTTCCTCCTCCTCCTTCTTCTTTTGAGCCAATCTCTTCTCCTCGTCCGCACGGGTGACCTTGCGCTTGGCTTGCTTCTCCTAAAACAGTATATTTTTCAAAATCAAATAAAATATTAAACAGGAGGATATCAAGTATAAATAAGGACAGATCGTACCTTTAATTTCTTCAACTCCTCTTCCTCCTTGGCTCTCTGCTTTCGCCATTCCGCTATGTATTCTTTGAGCTGTTCGTCGAGGTCGCTTCTTTTCTGTTCTTGCCTCTGAATTTTTAATAATAGATTAGCCGTAATGCGTATTTAATTGTGTTTCCATTAACGATCGTGCCAATACTCAATATATCTCCAATGCGATTGATAGACAGAACTAAGCGAGACGTGACTCATTAAATTAATGTTAAATCAATAAAATAATTTCGCCATCAATTCAACGTTGATTCGATATCTAATTTCCGGTCATTTCTTGTTGGAATAATAGTTTTCACCAATATACATTTCGCTTTTCCGCAAAAGCGATCCTTTTACTACGAAAGTGCTACAAGCGCGGAGAGTTTTGGGCATTCGCACGTATGTACGATCGTTATTTACGTGGACCAGCACTCACCTTCATAAACTCAGGATTCTCGCCAGATTCCCTGAAGGAGGCCGGAGTGAAAACAAAAGTAACTCTCTTTAAATCACGACGGTTGAGCCCGCTCTCTGGAAGATCTCGCGAGATCCCCCAGAACTCCATACGCGATTCTCACGTCCATATCTTCACTACTTTATTACAACTCCATCCATTCTCTCCCGTAGTGCATATTATTCAATGCCGCTCGTCGCACGTATACACACACAGACAACACATGGGCGGAACAGACAGACAGATATATGCACGGATAAACAGAAGTCAGAGAAAAATAGAGCGGGACAGAGGGGGGGGGGGAAGGGAGCAGAGGCGACTTGTGAAAGAAAGAAAATAAAAGAGAAGAGGAAAGAAAAAGAAAGAGGCAAATAGTAAGGCGATAATGTGCAAGCATATAGAATTATAGAAAGAAGAAATCAAAGTGCGCACCGCAGCGAATCATGGGAGAAGGCATTAATGAGAGTAGCGAGGATATTCCATCATAGGTAGAACACAGAGTCATAATGAAGTCATAATGATATCATCAGGACGACATCATGACGTTATTTGATACTTAAAAATGAACTTGTAAGAGACAAATAAGATCATGATGGTGTATTTATGATTATTATTATGATTTCTGGGCTCTACTTGAGATGACTGTCTTGGTTGAGTTATTCAGTCGTAAGGATTATGGATTCGTAAATGACTAAAAGAGCTGTCGGAGATAATAATAGCGCATCGAGATAATACGCTTCAGGAGACGACAATATTGAGCATCGCAGGCTCAAAATTGTTTTTAAACGGATTTAACATAAATTCGTTTGACTTTTCAAACCGAACTGGAGATCAATCTGTAGGAATTCATGGAGATGTTTGTGTCCTGAAAGACACTCGAAGAAAAGGGGAGGATGCCGCAATCGTTATTAGATTTCGGCTTTCCTTCCTCTATTTTAAAAGGTTACATTAAAATTTTTCATACGTCTTTCTTTTTTATAATTTACATCGTAAAAGATGTCGTCGGGATGTAAGAATTGTTTATTCATGGGATCTGCGGGCGGGGGTATTGCAATTATTGTTTGCTTGCGAGTCGATGAATTATGGCGCAAAAGTCAATATAAATTAATATGGGGGATCGGATAAAATAACGAGCCTTGAGATAGAAGGACGTGTGACACATCGCTTTGACGTAACTCGAACAAGACGTGATTATGTACAACTCGTTAATTCATTATTAATCAGAGAGACAAAACGTAAAACACGCGGGGGTGCGAAAGAGATATAAAGATTATAAAGTACGAGGACAACATAAGGGAGAGAGGAACCTCCAACACTGACAACGAGCGATTAGACGTCACCGACAGGATTGAAATCCAGAGTGTCGTACTTACGTTATAAGTTACAGTTTGACTTAAAATTGTAAGATATAGGTAACATGATTTTCTTTCAAGACACTTGGCATTTTTGAGATTCGCGAGACAAAAATTAAAACGAACGAAAATAAAACTACGATCAGATTTTAATTTATGCAATTTTAGTTTCACACGATGATAAATGATAATGTTCAAACTGCAAATACACTTCTGGCTATACATGGTTCGTTATACAATTTGATTTGGCAAATTCGCGAGTTCAAAGATTGTGCATAAATACGTAACACTGCAGATGCTGCATTATGTATCGAACGGCCGGCCGTTAATAAGATCACGTCAGCGCCGGGGCGTGGTACATTTCGAGCAGACGTCGATCTCAGAATAAACTGTGTTACGTTATTGTGCATATATTTGTGAGACGCCTGGCGGGCTCCCAAACGGAGCTCAAGTGTCGTCGCGCGTTAACGTTATGCAATCGCGATGGAATATTCACGAACGCCATGTACATACATACCACCTTCGATAAATATATCCTATTATTATTCACAGTCGCACTACACAGGCCAACGATCGCGTTATCCGTTCCGTATCTGTAAACAAAATCTTCCCCAGCGATATAGATAGAAATTGGCAAATCTACAACAATCCACAACGCGTCGCAACACGATTGTAATGTTAAACGTCGAAGCCGGTCTTCTGCGATTTCATTCCTGCCGCGACGAAAAATCTGAGGGTTCTTGATGCCGGTTTCACCGACGTCAGTTTCAATCGTCAATTTTATTATTCATACTCTCGGTTTCTAAAGAAAGAAAAGCAAAGATTCAAATCGTGATTTATTGAATCATATGATTTAAGATAAATCAGGTGGAAAATCGCTAAATTGCGATTTATAAGTTCTCAAAGGAACGTGTTTACACGTGTTCCTCTTCCAAAGAACACACCAAATCAAGAGAAAGTCGAAATGATTTTCTTTTGATCCCATGAAAGTCAAAATAATAAATTTTGTTACAAAATTTAACTATTTATTGACGTTAAGTTTCAAAATAAAGTCATTTTAATTTTTTGTTGGCTTTTATATGTTTCTTGGGTTGAGACGGAACTTATAAATATCTTTTACCGATCTTCCACCCGATTTATCACGAAACTATGTCAGTAAAAAAACAATTCTTTTTGCTTTCAGAAAATTGAAGAAAAAGATACTGTCTCTCTAAAGAGACTAAGATTAAATGTTTAAGCGTTTTTATCGAATTTAATCGACGTCGGAAAAACCAATTCGGACGGAGGAGGGGGATGTGAGAGAGCGGCCGAAGAACAGGGAAGATATATTATTGACGTGTAAACACCTCGATATATTCAACTTACTTTTGGGACGCCCTACCCCTATAAAAAAAAGAAAGTACAGATTCATTAATAAGGTCGTGTGATTGGTCGTCGCTTACGTAGGACTGCACAAAGCTGCACGTAAATTATAAAAATCGGTATCGCTCATCTCCAACTTGCGCTTTCCTTTCTTTTCATTTCTTTTTTTTTCCGTGCAAACTAAATCCGAACCGACCGCTCGATCACGCGGACCATGATTGCACGTTTATTGCAGAGATCACTGGTCGTTCCGACACTTATATTGCGAGCGAGTGATCGGTATGCATCGCTTGCTTTCAATTATTAAGCGGCTCGTCGTTACTTTCTCTTCAACGGGGATCTCGTAGCGCTTTTGCAAAAAAAGAAAAAGAAACGTTTCGTTGCCCATTTGCCATAATGCGGGTAACAGAGGCTGATATTAAGGCGACAGATATTGTTGACAGACACGACGAGGACAAAGATGAGGCGTGGAATAAAGTGCGGGGTGTGAAATGTGTATACTTTTGTAACACACTGCATCTCGGTAATCTTGTCAAAATGCTGAAAGGTCTCGACGTCCTGTACGTCATACGTGAGATACGTGTACGTGTAATGTGCGTGTACATCTGTGTACATAAAAAAGCGCGATAGCATTGCTGTTTATTTATTTTTTTTTATTTGTTTAATCCATCGACGCAGAACAGCGACACAAGACAGACGTTGAGAAGACAGCGAATACACCGGCGTATTGTACTTTATTAAAAGTTGAAATAAGGCCTGTTCTTTTTGATTGAACTTTTGCACCAATTCATCTTTTTTCCTCTTCTTTCCTCCTCGGAGAGAAAAGGAAGAAAGATGAACTAGTGCAAAAGTTCAACCAAAAAGAACAGGCCTATTGAAACAGAGAGGTTCAGGAGGTGGATGTATCAGCGTTGATTCTTTTTGAGACAATGTTACACAAAAAAGAAGAACGTCACACTAAAAAGTGTCTTTCATGTATTGGCGCAAACAAAATAAATAACGATAGAAGCGTTTTGCAGCGATCGCTCAATCACGTTCTTCTTTCATGTGTAACAATTTGACGAGAGAAACAGAATAAAGAAAGAGAGAGACAGGGAAATAGAAATACGGAGGGAAAAGATAGACAAATAGATAGATAGATAGATAGATAGAGAGAGAGAGAGAGAGAGAGAGCCAGCAAATGTATCGCTACAAAAATAATTCTATGCAAAAGTAAACGACTGCGGCGGCACAACGCGTGTGAGATGAAAACAAAGTAAAGAGAGAGTATAAAACAGAGAATGGACGAACAATTAAAGACTACACCGAGACAACAAGACAAAACAGCGATTAGACAGCGGGGAAGAAAAAAAAAGAAACGACACTGACGACAGCGTGTGAATATACACCATTTATTGGCCGTAAAAAAAAAAGAGAGATAAAGAGAGACGTTCATATTTGTCTTGTGCAAAACTTACTCGGTCTTCTTCTCCGGCTCCCTTGGATTTTGACATTTTTTGTATCGTACCGCGCGGGTCGATTAGCCGATCGGTCGATGACGAGTGACGATTGGTATTGATTGGTTGATTGGTTGGTTGGTTGGTTGGTTGGTTGGTTGGTTGATTGGTTTTGTGTGTTGTATGTGGAGATACACACAGACAGAGAGAGAGACAGGGAGTGAATAAACAAAAAAAAGAAAGAAGAAGACGGAGCTCATAAATCACAATCGGAAAGAGAAATCTGGCGTGCTGCGCGGCGCAAACGAGGCTTCGGAAAACGATTATTCTTCATCTACGTTCCTCTCACTATCGATTCATCGTGCGTTACGTTGCGCGTTCGTTAGCTTTAATCTAACTTGACGTTCTAATTTTACGAAAGAGGAGCATCGACAGACGATATAACGACGTTGCCAGGAAACAGAGAGGAAGAGAAAGAGCAGCTCCGGTCTTGTTTTTCGGATTTCTGTAAATCTTGCTTGATAAATCGTTGAATTCCACATAAACGTGAAACGCCACAAGTACGCGTTCCTACACACAGAAAAATACATACTATACGCAGATAATAATTGCTTGTTTCAAATAATTTACACGTTCATATATCCGCAAATCTTATAAATTCATTACTAGATTAAATCCATTCAAAATATATTCTAGTAAGTTTAATACTTCAATCAAGATTATTAAATTAAAATAAATTTGATTTGCTTATTATATAGTCTTCGATCTTATATAAAGTTTTTTCAATCAACTTTAGAATATTCTAAAAAAAATAAATTCTTGTTTTGATACATAAATAATGAGTTTTTCTAAAATTTATAATAAGTATAGTTTAATATTATTTTCAAGAAAATGTTTTTCTGTTAAAGATAACCGTTACTAAAAGAAAGAAAGTAAATTGAAATCACTTTTTTTAGCGATAGAGTGATATTTTTCTGTGTGTATTTCGTAAAAGAAAGAGAGAAAAAATAAATCAGATCTATCTACGCTAATTTAATTGGACTCTTAATTGAAAACAAACTATCAAAAACGCTTTTCAACGCGAGATCGAAACGGACATTTTCGCCGCGATCGCGTCTTCGCAGTAGCTACAGCGTTTGTTACAAGCCTCTGAAACTTACTTCCTGAAATGAGAAAACGAGATAAATCGTACGTTAGAAAAATAAGGAAACATTTAATTGGGAAAACATGTAACGAAAATGAACACTTACACTTCCTCGACTTCCTCCTCGCTGCTGTAAAAGACAAAATGGAAAAAAGTCTAGTTTAGTCAGGGTGGAAAATAATGTGGGCTATCGGGGCGTTTGAATGTGTAATAAATAAGGGAGAGCAGGAAGATTCACGAGGGCATCGCTTTTAAAAGTTAGGGGCTCAGGCTTTTTTCAGGGTTGCTTAAAACTCTTGCTTTTTTTCTCTCTCTCGTGCAGATTAATTACCGTCAGTATTAAGTATAATATATTATGCGAACTTTACTTCGTAAAACATAAATTTGACAATAAATTTGAATATACATTCCTTTGAAAAGTAAGTAAACATCTAATTACAGTAATTAAATAAGTATTTACTAAAAAAAATAATAGTTCAATCAAATTAATGATTTTTGTATCAAATAAATATATTCATTGGTAATAAATATTTATATTACTTAGAACTATTCAAACAAATATTTACTAAAATTTAATATTTTTTTTAGTGTGGATGCGATAAAAGTTTACCGAATTTTATTTTGTCTCTCCTTTATTGCGATCTGAAAGTGAATTTTCTTAAAATGTTCCATAATAACAACTAATCAAATTACATATTATATATTATAATTTAACGAGAAAATATGTATATAGTTACACTGTTCTAGAAAGTTTGAAGCGGTAAGAGAAAAAGCATGTAAAAAATAATAATTATGCAAGCACGTCATCGAGTGACGATTAAAAGTCGGCTGAAGTTTCCGAGTTTCGCTTTGAGTGCTTTTTAAGGGGTTCGTGCGTAGGTGCGATTGGGACGTGACGCACGCAGGGACGGACATCGAGACGGCAAAATTAGACGAACATGTGAAACATTAAACACGACGAGGTCACAGATCATGGGCGCTGTTCAACCTTACGTGGACGAACTTTAAACCTTGTTCGGACTTTTGGTTCGTACGAAACATGATCAACGATCAGCGAACGTACCACGATCTTGTCTACCGCTTCGATTTCGGCAAAGATCCGATTTCTCATGTCTGGAA